CGGCCGTCGGCATTGGGTGGTTTTGCCGGGTTATGGTGGCGATGGTGATGATGGCGATGGCGGGAAAGATATTGGTGTTGATAAGCATTGCAAGCAGTGTTTCAAAACCATAATGGTGTTTTCAAAACACTTTGGAAGAAAAAAACAAACACCAATGTGTTTTTCTAGAAAAACACAGCACCAAAAACACTTTGGTAACCAAACAAACCTAAGTTTGGTGTTTTGGTTTTGAGCTTGAGAATGTGTTAATATAATATCGAACATAATATATTGAATGTAATTAATATAGAGTTATTATCAACATTCTTACTATACTATATTATAGGTAATTTAATATATTAGTAATATTTATAAAATAATATAAAATAAAATAAATAAATATCTTATATAATAACATATTAAATACCAATATTTAATATGTTAATAATGTATTATATAATAAATAAATAATAATAAAATATAAATAAACTAATAAAATAATTAAAAGGTATCGATAATAAATAATAATATAATAATAATATAATAATATACTATACAATAGTATAATCTCTATAATATTATTAAATTTTCAATAAATATATTTGTAATAAATTAATAATTATAAATATTATATTAATAAACATATTTAATATAATAACAATATAAGAATATTTATTATATAACATATTGTAGAGTAAATGTAATATAATATATTAATATTAATATATTATGTAAATAAATAATATAATTTATACAAGTAAATATTTTTATTAATAAAATAATTTATTGCCTAATAAATGTTTGTAAAAATATATATTCATAATATAATAATATTATTTATATCATAAATACTAATATATTATTAAAGTACTATTAATAAAATCTAACATATTAAAACACTCATAATATATTATATAGTATTAAAATATTTATAAATATTAATTTTTAATAACATACTAGTAATAGGATATATTAACATTATTAATCAATATTATATTATTAATAATAGGTATACAGTATTATATTATATTAATTATATTATATTATATTAATAATAGTATAAATATAATATAATATAATACAACAGATTATCAAACTACTTAACTATAATATAACAACATAACAAATGATTACCCAAATAATTACGATATATATGTATTTAAAAATAACTAGTTCAATAAATTATATATATTAATAATGTATAATATTAGTATTAACTTCATTAAAGTATAATATAATATTATAATACATTATACAATATTATATTGCATTACATTTAATACTTATAATACTATAATAATGTAAACTAAATATTATAAAATTTTATTTATAATATATTTTATTATAATTAATATATAATATATTAATAATATATTTAATACTAATGTTATAATGGGTCAACCTAGTGTTGATCAAAAATACTTAACATGGTGTTTTGAAAACATTTTAAGAGAAAAACACAACACCATGGTGTTTTTTTACAAAAACACAACAAGAAAAACACCATGGTATAAATAAATTACAAAAACTTTACGAAATTGAGAATCTGGTGAAGTTTAACACATAATTAATTATGGCTAATCAAAAAAGTTGGAGGGAAACTTTACGAGATTCTAAATCCAGTGAAGCTTGCTTGCAACTACACGGGATTCAGAATTCGGTAAAGATGCAGTGACAGGCTGCTAAAGAGCTACAATTAAGCTCTCTAGAACTGATCCCTGCAACTTCATAGGATTTAGAATCAAACAATAATGTACAATTAATGAAAATACAATGCAATTCAAGACACAAAATATAATGATAAGGCAATATAATTTAAAAAAAAAGAGAGTGAGAGATAGTTAGACAATGAAGATGATGATATGTTCACGAGGTTCGGCCGCTCTCGACCTACGTTCTCGACCACCTCTCTCGATGGTAATCCACTACACAACCCGGTTTGAAAGCCGGAACTTCTACACAATGATCTCCTCGAGATCTAGCTCTCCACAAAATACAAGATGAAGAAAAGTAATCTCTCCTACAAATATCCTATGGCAAGGATGAAGAGATGAACAGTTGAAGCTCAGGGGTTTGTGGGATATGAAAGTGAAAACCGAAAAATTAAGGGTTTGAGAATAAGTAGAAAATTTAAGCTTAGAAGTCTAAAAAACAAAACACAAGTTTTTCTCTTTGTTTTTCTTGTTACAATAAATGAAAACCTGAGGACTATTTATAGTTTCTCAACATATCAGCCCAAATCTCCAGAAAATCCAAAATCCAAAACAAATCCCTTAAAAACAAGATTCTGGAAAACTAGCTGTTACTGTTGACGGCTGCGATCAGTCCACTGGTCAAACATATCAGTCGACCGATTTGTCAACCGTTGGCCAATACTAGAAAAACAAAAGGCACTGTCAGTCGATTGATGGGTTGTATCAGTCGACTGACCAGGAGGCTAACTGTAGGATGCTGTAAACCTACTCCTGGTCGGTCAACTGAAAGAAGAAGCGGTCGATCGAAAAACTGACATTTCAGATATTTGATTTTTTTTTAGAAAAGTTAATTTTCTAAATTTGATTTAAAATACTAAATCAAAGTGTTTATATATATATGAAAATAAATATGTTAGAGAAAGAATTTCTAAAATAGCACTTCGTATTTGTGAAAACTTATTATTTTAGAAAATCCGTCAAAAATGCGAGCTTGAAATGTGTATGTGTAATCCCCTAATGCTTCAAAAATTATCAACTTTATTTCTTGCCTACATTATGATCTAGAGAGAAGTAAAAATACAAATATCGCTTACAATAGTATTCAAAACTTGAGTGTCGATAGCTGCTAAGTT